CATTATAAATTATAATATTATATATATTACGTTGAATAGCAGTTAAAGATTAAAACAAAATGGTAAAGTAAGAAAACGTTTAAATATACAAGATCTATTTTAAAGTACCTACCTATTCGCGATTGAAAAGAATTGTAGGTAGCGCACTAGTTTATACTAATGATAAGGCTAACGGGGAACATGGTTGCCCGGTGGCCGAGGCCCGTGCTGTTTACAGTCTACACTCTACTGTCTACTTACTATTTTCTAGTTTCTACGGCAAGACGCAAGCAGTAGTTACTGCTTACGCTAAGTTTACTGCAATAGAAGTTGGAGATTATGGTCGGTCTAGTGATAGTGGAATTTTCAAAGAATCCTTATTTGGTAAACAATTAATTCAAAATAATTAGATTTGCCAGCACCCAAAAAAAGTTTATCAAAATATTAACGAAGATTTCTATTTTGTACTTGTAGACTATGAGGCTTACCCACTTTTACCTAATTTGATGAGACATTTCCCTCGTAGAAATTTAATAAACGAAAAACGTTTATGGTATATACAACTATCGACAATCCCATGTGAGAAGAAAAGTCGAATGTGCATTTGGACTTATGGTAAAAAGGTTTAACGTATTAGAAAATAAAATGCCAATCAGACCTGAAAAATCTACAAAAATAACTCAGGCGATTTGTGTACTCCATAATTTAATTGTGACTAGAGAAGCTAACTTCCTTTGTACAAATCTTAGTAAAACAGTTTAAAAAAAAAACAAAAAAAATACGGTGTATAGAAAATGAAAATATAAACATTCAGTTAAATGTTCATAATACAGTTCGTTTTTTTTTTTTTTTTTTTACAACAAAATAAATGTAGGTAATTAATTGTAGTCATTTTCTACCTATTTGAACACTTTGGAATAGAACAAGCCTTATAAGTTATAAGTATTATTAATTAGTATTTTTGGACTACTATTAAGGTAATAATTATAATCATACTAATATATATTACAATATAAATTACAAATAATTAATTATTTATTAATTCGTATTTCGTGTGTGGTACTGTAGACCCGTAGTACTGTATTATACACATCTTCCCCGCCCGTTCCGCTTTCAATCGCGAATACAAGTTTTTAAAAATCTAATGTCAATAGATCTATCATATATTCATATTGTACAATTCCGTGTTGTAATGAACTTTTTGGTAGCGTAAATGACAGATGTGTGTGTTGATAGATGATTTAAATTTTGAAACATTTGTTTGAACAGCGATAGTGACGACTAAATTTAGAACTGTTAATTGAAGATACAGAGCAAACAAGTATGAATCGTGGCTCTTAATTCTCTCACAAGTTCCGTTTTATTGCGATAATTTCTTTTCCCCCGCAACGATTTTCTTCTGATCGGGGTGTTTTCCGTCGTCCGAACCTTTAGTCGGTTTAATTGTATTTAATATCAAAGTCTGCGACGACGAACACCGGTCTGCGTGTGCTGTGCATGGTCGTCAGGCTGAGACGGTAGTGATCGAGGGGTTATGAGTTAACTTTTCAGATAGAAGTTTTGCCAGTAATAAGAGGCTCATAAAATATAGAAAGGCGTAAAACTTTCCGAGGGCCGCCACCGCCGAACTTCGGAAGTTTTATTTAAGACCGGACTCACTCACTTTATTTAAACTTATTTTCATTCCCGACCCACCACCCACTCATCCTTCACTCCCTATGCACATTTTGTTGTAAAATTCGTCGTCTTGTTTGACGGTCTCTGCCTTTTGTTTCATATTTGGTTCCCCTCCTTTTCTTATATATTCTTTTTTTCAGCTCTAAAAGTAAACTTTTAACTACTACGATGAGGGGTGTGGTGGTGGTGGCGAAGTTAACCTGCCGTTAACTTCGCGACGTCGACGGTAGTAGTTGTGCCAAAGTTCATTCCGATCAACTTTTACCCATGCACGCGCGCGCATCCGAAACTTTTCGGGATCCATTGAGCTTTGTCCAAACAACTTGCCCCGATGCTTGTTTTGTATAACTTTGTTGGTGAAACTAATTTATATTATTTGTAATATCCCCTCTCCGAATCCGCGCCATTCTTAAGCTTTTTAAGTAGTTTAAAAATAAGTTTTCCCTCGACTACATGCACTAGTGTGGTTGTGGATAGGGATAGCAGGAAGTGTGGGTCTCGACCGAAAGGAATTATTTTTATGACGCTTTTCCGTGGTGTATTTTTTCTTTGTATATAACATTTTTTTCCACAAATACATTATTTGCAGACAGTGTTCTCGGTTCACTTCACTTTCTCTCTCTCTTTCCTTCTCGTCTGGACGTTTTGTTCGGAAAATGAATGCCTGATACAATAATTGTGATTAAATTCATACAGGGTATCGCAGATCACACGATAAAAAGTTTGATAACTTTCTTTAACTTAAAATAAATGTTGAATTTAATAAAACAAGTTAAATTCATATGATTTCACGTATTCTAGTTATTATTGAATATTGTTTGATAAGACAATCGACCTACTTCCCTTATTTTTTGTTTATTCAAGGTATTTAGGACCATCGCAACTCCTACTATATCTTATCATTCATCTCTACCCAAAGCTAGTCTTTCTCTATCCCTGACTCCAAGGAGCTCTAGCAGTGATCTCTGGTCACAACACCGATTTCTTGATTTTATTCCATCAAGATTCCATATTGTGGCCTTGTGAAGCAGTCTACCATCAGCTCTCCACATTAGTCTTGTCCAGCGAAGCCTGTACTTTTTTAGTAATACAAATAACAATGATTCCTTTGTGATACTTAATTAACCTAAATTAAGTAAAACAATCATGATAAATTAAATAAGGTAATTAAAAAATCTTATTTTTGGGTTCATTGCACATACCGTTATAGATAAGTGCTGAATAAAAGGATAAAACTGTACCAAAATAATGTAATGAGTAGGCGTAGATCGCAACTGTGCCGAATAGTATTTTCCACTTGGAATACCATAATTCCATAAACCATGGGTTTCTAGTTTCTACTACACAGTGGTATATTAAGATGCGTTCACCTATCGTATTCTGTCGTGTATTCAATACGTGTGTATTATCAAAAGTTTACAACATGCGCTTTTATACTACTATTTTATATTGATGAAGCAGTAATGGTTACGTTTTTCATAATTCACTTCAAATTTTGCAAGCCTAAGCACAACCTTATCTATGAATTATTGATAGATTTATTAAACTGTTGTGCTTATTGCATTCGTTATTCGTCTAATTTGATTCGTTTGTTTTTCGGTGATGCAACTAACCTGTTAATAATAATAGTACATAGGTTGCCGTTTTATTACCTACCGATGGTGAACAACGTTTATGGTGCGCGTAAAATATAATTCATTGTTATCGGTTTCCGGTGCACCTCGTATCTGCATTGTTTTCTCAGTAAGTGTAATCGGTTTCAAAAACAAATGCCTTTTATCTCACGAAAATATGGCATACACACAATATTATGTACTTTTTACAATTTTTGAGTACGCTTCATCGTCGTTTTAGTGGTTTTCTATACACCGCGCGCATGTGGTTGTAATTGTGTAATGTAACAAGAACCTTCCCACTCACAGTTTTGGTCAATTTCTTATTCGCGCCAAGAGTTTCAATTTTAAACTTTCTTTAGCGTGAACAAGAGCGCGTGGGCAATAACAAAGGCTGCCTTTTTTATCGAACAGCTTTATATATTAAGATACCTGGGTCTTTCGATAGTTATCGTGCTAATATTTTTTTATTACATACGATTTTATTCGTTCCAATTAATTGGTGTCTAAAAAATGGTAACCACGTTTAGTTACTAAGCTATCGTTTATTTTGACTTCTTGTAAATTAAATATGTTAAGTCAAGTATATAGTAGATAATGAGTTAACCCCAACTTTATTGTACTATACCTACATAATATTTCTGTTTTGATTTAAAAAAATTTTTATTAAATGTAAATCTCCGATTGGTTAAAGTAATGCGTCTTCTGTTTTGTTGATCATGATAATTCTTAGTGATTAACTGTATGCTAACTCTCAAACACACACACACATGGGCAGTAAGAGAGAGAAATATAATATGTAATAGAACTAGGTATAGAAGTTTTCAGTGCTGAAGAAAATTGTAGGACTAATGTTGTTGGTTAGGGAAAAGTTTGTTGATGGATAATCAAACTTATTGCACGGTCTAGCCCTCGTCGTCTTAATATGACGTATGTTCTATATTTTTAAATAACAGCTTGCTGCGCGAGGTACACAGAATACTTCCGATTTTTTATGCTAAAATGTTATTAAATTATGGATGATTGATTATAAATAGTAAATGTACATTTCGATTGTTAATATTACCGTATTAAAGCCGAGTAATTGAAAAGTGTTCAGTACTGTTAAATATTATTTATCAATTGATTGGCATTGTGATTTTCATATTACACTGCAAATTGTAAAAATGAATTAATAAACTAATGATGACGAGTGGGACTGAAGTTTTCCATAATATTTCCAGAGATTGATTTTGTGTATAAAAAAATAAACTTTAGCAAAGAGTGCTGTTCATGTAATAAAATTGTTGTTCAACCGTTTGCCGTATTTCTCGCCCCTCTCCGGCTCCACGTTGCATGAAATAAAAGAAAACTTTTTTTTTCCGGTTAAGTTTGGTTTGGATCTCACAACCTTTCAAAACAAACTTTTAAGTATATTATAGCTTTTTAGATGGTCCAGATATCGACAAACAAAGTTTTGTAATTTTTTTTCTCGCTTCCCGCTTCTGGACTTAAGACTTAAAAAAAGTTTCTAAATTAAAAGAAACCTTCCTTGTGATCTTTTATAAATTAAAGAAAGAAAACTATAACTTCATTTTAATTTTATTTATAGTTAAAATATTAAAAGTTTTTTTCTTTATTGTTGCAGGTTCCCTACCCCTATCAATGGTATGATTTGGACGTCTTAGACACACTTGTAAAACCCAAACAGTCAAAACGCAAGGATTAAACAAACGTGTTGGTAGTCCAGTAATGGACAAACGGAAAATGATTACAAAAAGAACACGAATCGATACAACTATACGAGGTGCTGGATCCGGTGCTGGAGCAATTACCAATGGTCCTATACAAACAAGGCCGTTGGTCGCCTTGTTGGACGGCAGAGATTGTTCAATAGAAATGCCCATACTTAAAGATGTGGCTACTGTTGCATTTTGTGATGCCCAATCCACTTCTGAAATCCATGAAAAGGTAGGAATTTATATTCTTTTGATTACGTTTTGTGATACTAATATGTTGTTTTTCACTGTAGGTATTAAATGAAGCTGTAGGTGCTTTAATGTGGCACACCATTGTTCTTACAAAAGAAGATTTAGAAAAATTTAAAACGCTCAGAATTATTGTACGAATAGGAAGTGGAGTTGATAATATTGATGTAAAAGTATGTAACATGTCATTTTATGATCTATTTTAGCCAACAACTTAAAATATTATATTCCATAACGGCATATATTATAATAACGTTTATTTATTTATTAATATTTTTTTAGGCTGCTGGGGAATTGGGTATAGCAGTTTGTAATGTACCTGGTTATGGAGTAGAAGAAGTGGCAGACACAACACTATGTTTGATTTTGAACCTTTACCGTAGAACCTATTGGTTAGCTCAAATGGTCAGGGAAGGAAAAAAATTTACTGGGCCTGAACAAGTACGAGAAGCTGCTCAAGGATGTGCACGTATTCGAGGGGATACTTTAGGAATTGTTGGCTTGGGTAATTTATAATTTAAACAATTTTCTAATAATTTTAATTAATTTTTATTTTTGTATCAAAGGTCGTATCGGCTCAGCAGTTGCATTAAGAGCTAAAGCGTTTGGCTTTAACGTAATATTCTATGATCCTTACTTACCTGATGGAATTGAAAAGTCTTTAGGCTTGACTCGAGTTTATACACTTCAAGTAAATTTTATTTACAATATTATATAATTCTAGAAAATTAATTTATTTTATTTTATCAATGACATAATTTATAGGATTTATTGTTCCAATCTGATTGTGTATCGTTGCATTGTACTCTGAATGAACATAATCACCACCTTATAAACGAGTTTACCATTAAACAAATGAGGCCAGGTAAACGATTATATAAATATAAATATTCTAAACATTATAACTTATAGTAATTACTAAAAATTAAATATGTTATAGGGGCTTTCCTTGTAAACACAGCTCGAGGTGGATTAGTTGATGACGATGCACTTGCGACAGCATTGAAACAAGGACGTATTAGAGCGGCTGCCTTAGATGTTCATGAAAATGAACCTTTTAATGTACTTCAAGGTACACGCAACTAATTGACAATTTTCTATTCCTATAAATTCTAATTTATTAAATAATTTTTCAGGACCATTAAAAGACTCTCCAAATTTACTGTGTACTCCACATGCTGCATTTTATTCTGATGCTAGTTGTACGGAGCTAAGAGAAATGGCTGCCAGTGAAATCCGTAGAGCAATTGTAGGTCGAATACCCGAGTGTCTTCGTAATTGCGTCAACAAAGAGTATTTTCCTGCTCCGACTACCTATCCACATCAAGCAGGAGTGGCAAGCGTCGCATCAGCAGCCGCTGTAGCTGCAGCAGCTGCCGCAGCAGCTAATCCTGACGCTATGAACGGAGGGTTTGTGTTCCTTAAAGAATGTAAAAAATAAAATATGTTGTAATCATTAATTTTGTGATATAGATATTATGCGGGTGCTGGCACAGGATCTTTACCAGTACAACAAGCACATTCTACTACTGCACATGATAATGTGCCTGGCTCAGGGTCAGCACCACCACCCCCTTCACAACAAGCACCACCAAGCTCCCAGTCAGCTCCACCCACTTCAGTTATGCCACATTCATTAGTGAGTACACTACCGTCTGTCAGTAGTGGGGCTGATTCAGTGCCTTGAGCATCATCTGCCCCGTCACCTCTCATTCCTTTGTAATCAATGAGTATGTTTAACTCCCATTCATCCGGCCTATTACATAGAAATTTCGCTGATCTTTTTTTTTTACCTACTTAGATTAAATTTTAATATCTACATTTAATTGTATTAAAAACACGTACCTAAATGATTTATTGTACAAGTTCAAATTAGTTTTTAACATATTATTCACAAAATTATATTTTTCTTGAAAAAACATACAAGATTCAACTCCACTGATATATAAATATTTGGGATTTTTAATTTACACTTTGTTTTAATTTGTACACAATATTTTGTAAAAATATTGTAAATGATTTAACAGTTGACTTTAATAACTGAGTTATGTATTGCTTTAATAGTGCGTATAATTCATTATTCCTCGACTCACAATATTTCCAAATTTAAAAAAGATATCAGAGACAATTTTTCTTTCATTACTCCTAATTCAACGACCCTGTTTTGCTTAAGACCCTATAGATTAATTAATAACTTTGATGTTGCTATTTGTACTTATTTTGCTTTACTAATACTGTGAGTGTGTTGCTACGCATGTAAATTATTAAAGGGTGCCACAGTAAAGTATCAAAGTAATACGTTTTTGTTAATTAGTTAAAATTCTATTTATACAATATCATATTGGCTTACAAATTGGTTAATGTTTAAACAAATTTTTTTATAATATATTTGTTTATACTACTTAACTGAACTAACAATGTTTATTATTTTAACTAATTATCCTATGAATGTAGGTTAACATATGAAGATTTGGTTAGATTTATGTTGAGCGTTAATTAAATATTAAACTTATTCTTATACGAATTAATTTATTTTAATTAATGTTTTTATTTATAATCGACCAATTTTATTTAACTTTAATTTTTTATATATGACAACTACATATCATTTTTTTTGTTCATGTAAATATTCAATAATACTTTCAAGAGGTTTAACTTAGCTTAAATTATATCTGAATGAGTATTAAATTAAACATCAATAAAATTGTTTTAAAGAACTGAAGAAACTGATAATGTTTGATTTCTTTTTCATATTAAAGTTTTTACTTCAATACTTATTCATAGCTTGTAGAGAATTTGTTATTGATTTATTAAAACATATATTATTGTTAGTGAGTAAACAATACAGTTTTGATTTTTTCTTCCATATTTTCAGTTCAATATTTTTGATAACTTGCTGTATTCAAATATAGTTTTGGCACCCTTTAATAATAACAATATATTAATAGTGCATTATAACAAGTTCACGTTTTAATTGTTTTATTAATTAATAATAATTTATGAATGTTATACAATATAATTATATATGCTGTACTAAGACTTAAAAATATGATTGATAAAGAAAATTATGTCCATAGCTTAATTTTATTAGTCTGCATCATATGGAAGGGCGCAGGTGGCCTTACCATAAGACAATGTATTGCACAATAATATTTTAATTCACTTGAATAATTTCTCAAGGCGTCCTGGGGGTTGATTTATTTGTTTGTTTGATTTAAAAATCAACGTGTTTTAAAATGTTGCTGCGCCCTTAGCGACATCATTTCCATGACCGCTTTACTTTATTGTTGACACGCTTTCGGGAATTTTGTGTTTTATTTTTTTTTTTACTGATTCTGTTTATTTTTTATTTTTATTTTTATTTTTTGTAGTTTGTTAACACCCAGCTTCCATACACTTCTGGACAAAACGACCGTGACAGTACAAATAATGTGAGCCAGAGTAGTCCGTCCCTGACGTATAGGTCTGTTGTTTAAAAGGCACTTGTATTCCCTTATACTCTTTTTTGCTTTACAGAATTAAAATATAAAAAGAACATTTGCTTTAGAACTATAGTTATGTTCTAAAAGACTTCTCTTATGTTGTTTACATTAAAACAACATTGTGAACTTAGCTAAAACCATACATTTTAGGTAAAAATAACAGGGCGCCTTGAGTCTTGAAATACTCATTAGACAATAATCAGTTCGAACTAAAATCATAATTTTATTTTCCACTAGGTTTCTTTTTTTCTTTTTCTAACAAGTTATCTGGTTTAAAAAGTGCTATTGTATCTCCATTCGAAAACAAAATTATTATTCAAAAAAGCTGTATTATTATATGTTTTAATTTTCTATTTATTTTGTAAAAATTATTGTAAATATTCATAACAATATTTTATTTTAAATGTTTTCAATGTTTAAAATGTTATTTCACCATGCAATAGAGTAATGTTAAATGAATGGGAGACAAAATAGTGGCATTTGGGCTTCTACAGGATATAAAATAACATATACATGTTTTTATTTTTTTTAATTTTTAAAAAATTTTTTTAATAATTATTGTAAATAGCAACATCACATTAATTTAGTAGTGTTTATTACATATAGAATTTTTAACTGTTAAGTGTGTTTAACTGTTTTATTATTAAACCGGAGATATTGTCGCCTTATTGTACATGTAAGGTGTGCGTACATTTGGGCAGGGTTAGGGAAAATAAATAAATATTTTTCAACTTTAAAAGTTAGATTTTTGTCATATTAAATCTATGTTAAAAACAGACTCACTGGTTTAATTTGTCATTGTATGCATATTACATGAATTGAGGTGCAATAATCGACACATTAAACACTTAAAAAATATATATAATATTTTATATAGATCACAACTTTTATTATTTTTATTTTGTACTTTTTTTTAATGGACCACAAATCAGAATTTTGTTATATACATGAAAGTACATAGAAAAATTAAAATATTTTACAATTCAGAAATTAAGTTGGATATTGTACATAATTTTGATGGAATAACTATTTCTTAAACCCTTTCAAATCATATAGGTTTCATTTAAGCAAAACATTATAGTAAGATTATTATTATTATTATTATTATTATTTTTTAGACTTACTTTGTGTTGTAATTAGACCTAATTTAAGTCCCAGATGTAAAAAATAAAGCATAAATGTTTCAAAACATGACTAAATTATATCTTTTATATAAGATAAAACAATAAATATCTTGTGCTTTTTGACAAGTGTAATGTCATAAAAACGACATATTTTGTAACAATACAATTTTTGTTTTAGTTTTAAGTGAAACAAAAGGTGATGTAATTCTTAATATGATTAAAAAAACAATTATGAATAATTTAATTATTACTATACATTTATGTATTTCTGTTAAGTAAAAATCGGTCAAGCAATATTTCAGCTGAGCCAAATTTTTTTAAAACTCAAGTTTGTAAATATAATATTTAAAAAACAAAACAAATTTATTGAATACAATTTTAACTATTCTTTTTAGAAATTGTAAAAATGAAAAATAAATGTAACATTTAATATTTTATTTGAGAAATTACAATATATTAGTGTTGCATGGAACAATAATATTATTTGTGTTTATTTTTATTATATATATAATATATTTTTTTTCATCATTATTTTTCAGTATAGTGTAACTTTGAGTTAATGTTTATACAAATTAAACAATTTATCAATATTATTAGGCATGTACTTGCCACAACCTTAACCTACCTCCAACTTGTTTGTATTTAGCTGGAAGCTTTGTAGACAACATGTTTAAAACTGTTGACTTACAACTAATTTGTTTTAACCAGAACCAAAAAAACTGTAAATTGAATTTTGGTAGCATTATGAAATGTTTAGATTACTTATGTGGACATAAAATGTCAGTCAAATAATTTTTAATCACGTGGCAGTACAACACTATGAGTAACATAGTATTGTTAATAATATTATCAATGATATAAGTAACCATTAAAAACATAAAAATCTCTGTGTTAGCAACAAGGTACACATTTTTACACAAAGTATATTCTACTTTGTTGACTTGAGTTTCGGGTGAGAACCGATTGTGTTTCAAGACTGTTAGTTCTCTCTGAACCTAAAGTTACCATTTACCTATTTGAAATCAACCCACAGGCATTTGGTATGAGTTAATACAAGTTTTATTTTTTGCATTATCGTTGAGTTGGTAATACTTTTATTTACCAACATG